ACCTTTATTTTAATAAGAAAATGAGAATAGGTAAATTTCTGTAAAGTAGTTTAGTATACGTTTCTAAATTTATTAGTAATTATTTTGAAACGTTCTACGATACTTTCGTTTACAAATCCGGCATTAATAAATGTGATTATTATATTGTAAATCAAATATTCATTACTTTTTTATTTGTAACCTGCCTGCACAATACAAAATAATTATGATTTTTCTAACCGAAAAGTTCTTTAAAATTACTATCAATTTTAGTCTTTTAATCAAAATACCTAAATAAGAGTGCGGCGAAATTTTGCTCCGTTCGGGCAGCTGAAACCCACGATACGCCGTTGCCCAACAATACAATGCATATCGAGGGAGAGCCATTTTGCCCCTTTGTAGAATTTGGAGATTAGAATTTGTCCCGGCTGGGGCACGCGGAGCCACGCTGGTGGAATGCCCTCGCAAGCCGACGTCGATTGGCGCCGGATCAAGCCCTTCTACGGGAGAAGATACCGACCCCTCCCGCGAACATGCCCTACACTTACGGGACTAGTGACCTTAGCCAGTTGACGCGCCCGGAATCATGAATAATGAAGCAATCGATATCTGCTTTCTCATTTTGATTGCTCTATATTACCCCTTTCAAACCTAGTTTCTGCCGATCCGGTGGCAGAGATCGCTAAGGCAGTAGTGCCGTAGCGAACAAATGAGAGATACAAGTTTATTCTATTAATTCAAGAGGTTGTGTTTGAAATTTAATAATGTTTATTCCATAAAATCGGGTAATAACAATTAGTGAAAGTATCTAGAATCTATTACTTTTTATTTTAAATACAAATCTTGAAATTTGGTTAAGTACAAAGCTGGAGTTTATTTCTAATCGAAAAGCCGTGGTGATCCACATATAAATATTATTGCAATTTACCAAATACCCTATATTTCAATAAAAATCGTAATTATTTCATACTTACTGATGTTCTTTCTGGTATTCGAGACAAATATTTAAAAACAAATGTTCAGCCATTATCCAGAAAAGTTTGAAAATTTCACAGGGGCTTCACGTCAAGTATCCCCTCAAAAATTAAAATATAATGATCCTCAGAATGGCACATATGGATCTTCTAACCTCTGACTTATTTTCCAAATTTCCGCTCAAAACCGACCAAATCTGACTGAATTATGTGTAACACATCTAACCATCCATACATAGTCAGACTGACACAGACAGACAGACCCACAGACATCCAGATTGTCGGGTATTACACTGCTTGTCTCCTCCTCACCTGCGCCAACCTGAACAAACTTCGGGACATCACTGATAGACTTTAATTCTGAGGTGTGTGAAAAGTTACAGGTCAAAATAACTTTAAATACGGAGTTTTCAATCAAAATTTGAGATTGTATTATGGAGGGGATTCCAACATTTTCTTCTTGTAACTCTAGTAAATTAAATTTTATTAACAAATATAAATAAATGCAATGCATTAAATCGACTTTTCCTATGAGCCAACTTCACTTTTAAGCTAGTTTCACTTTTATCGCACGAGAGTCTCACTAATATATTTTTCCTGTTTATTAATGATATCGATAATCCCGGATATTTTGAGTTAATATATTTTCAGGAATTATCACATTGAAACTTCTCTTTTCTTCGA